AAAGTAGAAGAAGCTGAAAGGTTTCTGTAGAGAAGATGGGCCAAATGGCCCATAGGTTGCTTATTCCTTCTTGTTATTTATGTTTTTCTGTAATGGGCCTTATTCTGGSCCCATCCTGTCTATATTAAGTTCTTTCGTAAATACTTGCCCAACTAAGGGCCTCCTTGTAATTATTCAAACATATCTTAATAAAATAGTGTTAGGGTGCTGAGAGAGGGAAGGTTCGAAACTCTCATTCTCAGACCCTCATTGCTGAACTCTCAAGCTCTCCTCTCTTCAGTTTTTCAGTTTCAACAGTAGAGAAGAAGAGAGAAGAAGAAAAGAGAGTGGGATGTCTCTAGAATTGAATAGATTTGGCCGCCAACCCCTCTTGATTTATATACTTAAAATAAAAGAATGGAAGATTACAAGAATACCCTTAGTAGGGCGGCTACTTTAAGTAGCTGAACAGTCACAACTTAAAGTAACATAAACTAATGGGCCTAAGGCCCAATAACTTCCTAACTTAACAACTTAAAAATAAGAAATAAAAGGCTGGGCCCAATAACTCAAAATCGGCCCAACTCAACATGATGGTCTGGGAAAATGCAAAGAATCCATCTACAGCACAATTAAGAAGTGATCTGTACAAAAGTTGAAGGGGCTAGAAGTGATAGAGGTGGACCAAAAAAAGGGATAGGTTGAAGTAGTCAGAAATGATCGAAGGCTCTATGGTTTAACATTTTGATACGGCACTGAAAAGAATGAAATGGTGGAACATGATTCATTTGAAAAAAAAAAAAAAAAACTAACAAGGCTTGGCTTATTTTTTTTAGGAAACAAGGTTTGGCTTATTAATACCAAAGACAGTGTTATTTATCACATTCATCTTGAAGGGACAAAGAAGGGAATTAGGGTAAAGTATCAATAGCATTATTTCCAAGAAGTGACAGTTTCCAGTACACTAGCAAACATTCATGAATTAGAAACATAAATCTCAACAGTTTCCGGTGTACTAGCAAACTTCATACAGAACAAGATTTCTGAAAGTATGATTTGCTAATTTCATTTTTTTTGAAAAAAAAAATAGCATGAACAAATCCTCTAATGACTTCATAATGCAGAATATTGACTAGTTCCTTAATAAAATATACAAATCAAAGAAGTCACGGCTTACTTGAGAGGATTCGCTAGAATGCGCTGACCCAAGGTGACAAAGCTAGTTTCTTGGTTGGACATAAACCAAGCTAATGATGAAACACTGTTGAAACAAATTCAGTCAGCTATGAATAAGAGGTAATGACAATGACCCACAGGAATCATGTTGGCAGAAGTTCATATCCAACCTTCCAGTAAAGACATGCTCTCTTATACCAAGAATAGTTGGACGTCGAAGACCATGATTTCCTCGAAATTCCTCTAGAAGATTTCTCATTTTCATTGCTTCTTCAAGGTAGTTATCCTATATTAAAAAAAAAAGAACATTCAGGAATTTCTTTTGCATATGAAATGCCATAATATACCAGAATAAGCTGCGAAAAAAGTGTGGTGGTTTAAAATATTAGCATAATAGTGCATAKAGTGTAGAGAACACTGATGTGGACCCCACGGCTGTGGTCCCCACTGTGTTCGTATGGCAGCACAGCATGTATTCTTTGTTAGTTATGTCAGTGTTAGATGGTACTTATTTCAGTTTTGTTGTTACAGCTTGTTATTTCAGCTTTATTATTAGTTTATTTGCCATGTAAGCATTAAGGGAAATTCAGCCTTTTTTTACAATTAGTAAACATATAAATATTAAGAGTGGGTCGGCAGATGGATTCTATTCGACCCTCTCTCTCCTTTTCTAAAACCCTTCATGTGCTTCTTCTTTCTCCCTCTTTTCTTCTTTTTCTCCATCTGAAATCTTTCTTTTACTTTCGAATTCAAGACTGATTGTAGTCTTGATCGACTACTTATAGTTCACAAAATAATTGGGATATGCACCATTTTCTGTATTGTCATCAAATATAAGTTGTAAAATTAAGGTATACAAGGACATATTTGCATTAAACAAGAATATCAACCAATTGCAATCTCTTGGTCACATGTGTTGGTCCAGTTTATCCACAAAGGGAAAAGAAATGAATTGACAATGCTTACCAGTTATAAAAGATTGCATACAACCCAATTACAGAAGTTGAAGGAAATTTACTAATTACAAAGGAAAATAAGTCACCTGATTCATGTCGATAGTTTGAATAGCCTCCCCACGTGTGAAGATTATAGCATGGTTTTGGTTTTCGGGCTTCCCCTCTCCAAGCTTGGGGTCTCCAGGTAGCTTGATGGAATAGACTTCCTATAAAAATAACAGAACAAATATATCAACTTGAAAAAAAGAACAAAAGACAAAAAAAAAAAAAAACAGGAACCTAGTCCATAGAAACTTTATATTGGCCACTTAAGTATAACAAATAGAATTTACCAACACTATCGATTTTTTTATGCTTGTCTGCCGAGTAGCAAGAATAAGTTAACATGCCTCCAAGTATAACTATAAAAAAATACATGCTCAAGGCTTACACTTCCTGCGTTCCAAACTATGTTTCATGCTTCCAGGTAGGGGAACACCTCACCATGCCCCCGTGTTTTAAAACATTGATTTGCATCTTCTTGTACATTAAATTTTTCCATTTATATTTTTTTTAAGTCATGCCTTGCTTTGTGTAGGTGCACAACTTGCCTTGTGCATTGCACCTTAGGCTCTAGGAAACCTTTTGTGCTTCAGTTGCACATCTCATTTTGAAAATACTAGTTAATACTGGTTGTTCATGTAAATAGAAAGCAAAGGCACTGAAACACTGATCTTTATCAGACAGATTCTGCAACTTACTTTAACAATGAAATTGCTCAAGTTACAGAGTACAAAAGATATAACAATTTTAGATGCATAAAAGCATTGCCTTTTGTTAGACTTCTGCTAGGCAGATGTACTGTTTCCATTATATTGATGCCTCCTGTGATTACCCTGTGAAAATGTAGATTATTGCATTTGAGCATATATTAGCATGCATAAGATAGCATTAGGTCCATGCATCTGACAAGTCTCTTAAACCACAAGAGAATACATCACGTCTCCAAAATTTGAGGATTTGAATTTGCAGTCTAAAGTATGCCAGTTCTAACCACATGGATTATAAAGCAACCTGAGAATTTGGGAAAATTATGTGATTAGACAAGGAGGATATTTCTGAACCCCTTGTTGGCTTGTCATATTCTTTACTGTTCTTCACAGAATTTGTGCAGTGCAATTCAATAACAATCTTGCACATGCCAACTGCCAATTGCATACAATAGAACTGCTGGAATAGGGATAAATCATCACCAAGGAACACTTCTGTCTACCTGATCCTTTCCATGTGCATCAGCTTTTACTAACTTTGAATAGAATTCCTTCAAAATCTTCCCATCATTGGCACTACTCTCCTCAACATGTATGAAAGCAACTCGAAGCGCCTCATTCCTGGAAAGACACAAGTAAAAAATAAATAAACACCCAGAGGCACTAAAATATACCAATAGCTAATCTCTCACATGAGATTGCATGATAAACTTGATGCTCATGGAAATTGTCAAAGTGTAGATTATCAAGTAATAAGACACAAACATAAAACAGGCAGGGGATTCAAACTCAAAAAAAGTCAATAAATAATAGGGCTCCATCTTACCGTATATATTAGATGCTATCATTAAGAATATTTTAAATTTGATTTCCAATTAGCTGATTCAAATAGCATGAATAGAGTAAAAATAAAAGGTCATAGCAATCCATGACATGATGTGAGAAAGAAATCAAGGAAAAGTGGAGATGTAAACAACCTCTGTAACAAAAGAGCAATGTCAGCTGCCTCTGGAGCCTTCTTCTGTTTCTGTTGGCCATAAATTTGGCATGATACCACATAAGTAAACTTAAGATCTGCCTGTGCCCGGGATATGCGAGATATCTCAAATCCTTGTGATGTTGGGAGATTGGCTCTTGAATAACCATCTTCTAATTCTACAAGGTGAAAAATAATGTGTCAACACAAATATTTTTTTCCCCGCAGGGAGGGGGATCAAAATGATGGTAACAGAACATACCCCCCAATGCTCTCCTTTCTAGATAACTTTGTAGCATCAGAGCCCTTCTGTAGTACATCATTCCACGCACTGCATTTCGGCAGTGAAAGAAAAAAACACTATCAACAATAAATAACATAAAGAGGTTCTTTCTCATTTTTTCCTCACATCTTCTCCCCCTAAAAGAGTATGCCAATTATCAAATGAAAGTAACATCTAAGAACATATGCCAACAACAATTATAGATTAAACGCTTCACAACACTGGACAAAGATATCCTGAAGTTTCATATACATGATACATTCAAAAACATAAAAGAAATAAGATAAAATATCAGCCAGGTCTAACCAGTTCTAGCTAAAGTCTGGCCTCGATAAGACGCCCAAAAACGAAGTTCTAAGGAATCACTAGAGCTCTGCTGCAGATCAGCATCCCCAGTAGATTCACCTCGACCAATTCGTTCCAAGAAATTCTCCCATTCATCTGAGATGAAAATAGTGTCAGATAATCTACACTAGGAAACCAACAGCATCAATTAGTAAGAGCATCAAAAGCATATAAAAATATAAAAATATATATCTAATATTCAAGAAATTATACTTAATAATACTATTATACAATTTCACATTAGAAAATGCAAGAATAAATATTTAATAAGATAATGAAAACAAAGAAAATGCCAGATGAATGGAAAAAGAGCACTTTGATGCATGTATTTGAATCAAGGGCAATATACAAAGTTGTAATAATTGGTGTGGAATTAAATTCATGAGCACACTATAAAACTTTGGGAGTGAATAACTGAGCAAAGGTTACAACATGAAACAAATATTTCAGAAAACCAATTTGGTTTTATGCTATGGAGATCAACTCTAGAAGTCATCTTTTTATTAAGATTATAGATGGAAAATTTAAGATAGATGAGGAGAGATCTGCATATGATTTTCACTGATCTAGAGAAAGCATATGATATAGTCCTCGATAGAGGTAATGTGGTAAGTTTTGGAAAAGAAAGGAGTTCCAAATAACTATGTGGAACTAATTAAGGATATGTATGAGGGGTGCAAAAACTAATGTTAAATTGGACTAATCATAGATGAATTGACTAAACTTTTTCAAGGGGAGGTCCCATGGTAGTTAACGTTTGTCGATGACATAGTACTAATTAATGAAACTAGAAAAGGATTAAATGCAAAATTAGGGCTATGGCCAGCTGTATTGGAAACAAGAGGTTTTAAAATAAGGACTTAAACAGAATATATGCAATGTGAATTTAATAATAATGGGAGTACAAATCAGGGTAACCTAGGATTGGAGACCAAGAGATGACTCAATGTCACATCTTTTGTAACCTTGTTATTTTTTATAATTAAATGACTTCATTAGGAAAAGAGTGTGATACTATTACAAGCATCCCATAGAGAGGGGGAGGTGTGATCTCTCCCATATTAGTAATTACAATTTCTCAAAAACAACAAAACATTACAATTCAGTTCAGTAAAAATATTCTCGACTTGCCCCTTGTTTGGCAAGAATATCAGCCAATGCATTTGCTGACCTGTCTACTAATTGTATTCTTGTGGTCATGTTCCTTGTTATCCATTTAATTTTCATGAGTAGGTCCTTGTAGGTTCTCCACAAATAGAATCTCCTATTTCTACTAGGCCTGAAAACAAGGCTATAACATTGCTATCCTTATTTCTCAAGACCCCTCCTATACCAGATGGGCCTGGATCACCTTGACTGCTTCCATCAAAGTTCAGCTTTGTAATGATTTATGGAGAGTGGGAGAGAGAGAGAGAGAGAGAAAGAGAGGTACGATTGAGAGAAAAAAAAGATCCAACTGGCTGTCGCCAGTCTTCTATTTATATTAACTTAATAAAGGAATAGAAATTACAAGTATGCCCCTAGCGGCACATCTTAGAACTAAAAATAATAAGGAAAAAAGACAAGTAACTA